CCAGTCAGCATAGGCCCAGTCAGCATAGGCCCAGTCAGCATAGGCCCAGTCAGCATAGGCCCAGTCAGCATAGGCCCAGTCAGCATAGGCCCAGTCAGCATAGGCCCAGTCAACATAGGCCCAGTCAACATAGGTTTTCGCTTTTGTTTTACTCTACCCTGGGTACCAGAGCCGCAAAAATTAAAAAATAATATTAACAAATAATGAAGGAGGTTTGCAATTGATGGAACCAGTGCCGCTTTTCGTCCTCTCTCTTCACTCTCCTTCGCCTCCGCAGCTCTAATTATTTTTTAATTTTTGTGGCTCTGGTACCCAGGGTAGTTTTACTCGCACTTTGTTGTTTTGCCCATGTAGACACCATCCTATTTTTCAAAATATGGTGTTCCGTCTGACAATAGATCTCTCTTGCCATCAACGACTGCAATTTAAAATAAAGGAAGTTAATGCTCCTGGAAAATTAATGATACTTCCTGGTTTTATCTCAAACGCTTAATATTCTGCTAGAATGCTGCGAGGGTCGTGAAAAGAAGACATCTGCAGTCGCCATTTCGAATTCAAAGTTTTGCAGTTCTACAACAGATTAGAAACAATAGGTAGCCAATCAACTACTGGCTATTATACAGCTCTCTTAGAATATGGTATCATTTACGAGTTCCATATGCTGTTTTGACTGAGTTCCATCCGTGTTCCGAACAAAAATTTCATTGTTTCAATCATAGGCAGAGACTTGCATTTTTTTAAAGGGGGGGAGGGGGGGGGGCTCAAAGAATTAATGACAATTCCTAATGGCAGCTGCCATTAACACGTCAGCAAAGATCGCACGTTGCTTTCCTCTGATGCTTCCAGCCTCTCTGAAGGAATGGCCGCGAGTTGGATCTGACCTTATGTTCACAATAATTTCATACTTTATTTTGCCGTAAACGCAATTATCTAATGCAACAAATCTTATGCGTGAAACCAATAATATAACAAACTAATCTAAAAATTGGTAAAGCACTTACTTTTTTTCCAGGGGGGGCTCAGCCCCCCCTCGGTTTTTGTTAGGAGGGGCTGAAGCCCCAGAGCCCCCGAGGCACAAAACGTTTATTTCCGAGTTCTAGGATTGACTGCTGTTGTCCTCCATAGCGTCTGGAAAATCGTTTCAAAATCACGACAGAGAAGAAGGAAGGAAAAGGGCGAACGAATGACATCAAACTGGCAATTTCAAGATTTTGAAGAGACTGCGATAAAACTTACAATTTCTAGGTTTCACTTTTTTAGCCTAAATATTACATATTTCAGGCAAAACTATTTTTAGCTATATGTTGGAAAACTGACTGAGTTCTGTGCACCAAGGAACTTACCCTGGATTCGCCTGATCAGCAATTGCTGCATCAAAAAGCTCCCTTATCTTGCAAGGAGAACATGTTTTTCTGTGTGCTCAGGGTTAATTCCACTTGCACTTCCTTCTCTTCTATTTTTGGACTTTTTGTTGGTGAAGATATTCTGGAAGCGATCTGTCACTGCTCTGCAGGAAACCAAATTTTGGCCTTTCTACTTGCGAAAAATTATCCACAGTTTTTCTCCACCCATCGCTCCTCGGCCCACCAGGACACGGCGAAATTTCCCGGTGCGCCCTTGCTTCGAGTTATATTTTTCAAAAAACTTGAAAACTACCGAAAGGCAATTATTAATATTCGCACAGAACTAAAATTGATTACAACCATCAATTGACCTCTCGAAAGAACGTTTGCATAAAAAGTTTGCGGTGGTTATGGTTTCGGCGTCATAGATTTTATAGTTTAGTTAGCTTCACCATTAAATTGAGAAAAACTATATCAATGATGTATCAAATTTCCACCAGTTTTTTGCCAATTCCTCGTAATTGTACAATTTATTGAAAAGTTTTCCGATATCTTCAAAAACGCCCAAGACCTATGATTAACGCAAATTAGTTTCTTCACTTATGACTAATGCGAATTATTTCAAATGCCTGATATCGAATAGCTGAGAGGGTTCTCACTTTTGAAGCATTAACTGAGTACAATCCTATGTTCTTTCCATTCAGAATGGTTGTATCTGGATAAGATTATCGATGCGTTGGTAGTTGGGTATGGGAACGTTCACATATTACCTAATCAAAGATGGAGGGAGGGGGTTCACACAAATGTTTACGGTCATAATGATCAATGAATGATGCAAATTAGATGATGATTCAGGGGGAAGAGGATTTTTCCAATGTTGCCGATATTTTGTTATGTAATTTGTGCATGTTCCTTTCTTGAATGATAATGCTCTTTCCAGGGCCTATTTTAGTGTGCATTATTACACACTTTGTGCAGTATTAATTTAAAAACGAGCAGTATTGATTTCGAAAATGTTCAGTATTGAATTTTGGGATTTGTGAAAATGTCTTTTTGCGGCTATCCCAGATTCCTGCTTTGTTCAAAAAATGTGAATTTTCCTCGTCAGTTCGATGTAGAGTTCATGTATTGTAATTCTCATATAACCATCGGAAAGACCTCTTATCAAAACTTAAAACAAAGCGAAATGCCCAGAACCAAAAACAAAACATCTCCTGTAAATGTCAGCATTGCTGTAAATTTCGTAACTTGATCTTGTCGAAGATAAAACATTCAGTAATAATTTATCAGTTGCCATATGATGCTCTGGGCATCTAGTAGAAGCTCACTTAACTTAACTAAAAGAAAGATAAAGAGCCTAATAAAACTTTTTAGTTAATAGATCACCTTTCTTCAAACAGACCCAACAACCTCTGTAATGTACAGGTCGTAAAAATCGGTATTACAGACCACTATATGACATACTGTATTAGAAAATTAAACGCTAGAGTTCATGTCAATGACGTGAAATTTGAGACAGAGTCACGCAGTTTGAAAAATTATGACCGTGACTCTTTCCTTAATGACTTGCGTAGTATTGACTGGGAGATGGCTATGTCATGTAGATCGGATGACCCTTATAGGATGGCTAGCAATTTCTACGATCTCTTTCTCGCTGTCTTGGATGTGCTAGAGCTAGGCTGAGCCCAGGGGCGCCGGAATTTTATTGTGGTTTAATATGTTATTTGCTTTCGGGAATTATGAGCATAGTTTTCATCATGATTGCGGAATTATGGTTCACATTTTTCATACATGTACGAAAGTATGGGTCCAAACTATTTCACCAAAATGACACGTCTCCGTTAAAAATTAGGCCTAGTTAATCCCCCCTAACTCCGTGAGCTGTTGGCTGTCGTGTCGCATCACGCTGCATTGTGCTAAAAGTACGTTCTGCAATTGCAGATGAAAGTGCAAATGGATTGTACATTTGCAATGACTTGTGGGCTCTGGCAGACATTCTTTATGGCATTAAATTGAAGTCATGATTGATCAAAGGGTTTCCATCTTCGTTACCTTTTTTATTGCTATGGCATCTTCTTTCTTATAAATTCTGATGACTTTGCTAAAGTGCACCTCATTTTTAAAAGCTTTTGGATTACTTAATTGAAGCTTCTACTAGTTAACTTGGATTAGTGTTGCGTATTCCATTAGTGTTTGACATGCTCTACTAGAGTCCGTTAAAAGGGGCCCTATCTCAGTTTTCCCTTAGGACCCCAGATGCCTTCGCTACGCCACTCACCTTATTCTACAGTAATTTCCTACATTTTAGAGTGTTGCCGAAAGAAATAGCATTTTTGCACATAAGTTCATAACAAATGCACCCAATATTTTAATTGTTCTCATTTTGTTCCTAACCGCACTAATGTTTTATCTCACTATACACCAATTCGACTTACGACCTCGTTTTGAAAATTTCTCCAAACTTAATTGTACGACTTTTTTAAGCTCAGATTTGGTTTTATCGTCATAATTTTAGGCGGGATACCATTTTTCATATTGTTTCGTATTTTAGATTTTACCGAGAAATGAAGTTTGAAAACTTGTAAGGGATTTGACCGTAAAATCGTTTCGGGGGGAAACTTTACCCCCCTAGTTGCCAATCACGGTCAAGTCCCTTATAAAATTTTCATCTTTACGTCGTTATAAAATTGATATCGTGAGCAATATCATAATGACAACTTACAAGTAGACTAAAATCATTGCTGTCAATCCGAATCTGAGGTCAAAAATTTTGTACAAAAGAATTTGAAGAATTTTTCAAAATGAGGCCGTAAGTCGAATTGGTGTATTCCTTTCGCATAAACACAGTGCCATTTTCACAAGGGCACAGTGCTGCCCCCGCTGCCCCCATGCTTCCGGCGCCCCTGGCTGAGCCCCCTTTGTTGATGCCGAAAAGGGACAAATTTCTACTTTCGTTATTGTTGTTCACAACATTTTGTGCAAATGAGGGGTGTAATCAAAAAATTCATCTAGAATTCTGAACGAAATTCGGAAAACTTCAAAGAATGCTGCGGAACAATGCATGTCACAATCTTTTGGATTTCTGAAATTCTGACTTTTTGGGGGTAAGACTCAAAACTTGACCCCCATTAGAGCACCGAATAGAGCGTGACCAGTTAAGGTGGTAACGGTAAGGTGGTTCCTGGGTTTATTTATTTACTCCGCAGGGCAGCAGTGGAATGCACGTGCGAAAATGGCGGGATTTGGGAATGGCTGTCCCACTACACTAAAGCTTTGGGCTATGATGGAAGCCTCTTTTCTCATTTTGCAAGTATTAACAATATTCTGTGGATCAGCCAACTCATATACTCCCGAAAATTCGTTGAATGTGCCACAACTTCTGCTTCCTAATGCGGCAACAAACACTATCCCGACGAACTATACTCTGAGGGCAATGAAAGGGTGCTTGCATTGGTGAGACAGTTATTCGGTTTTTATTTTATTAAAGGCCTTGTCAACGAATAAAGATAACTTTTTATCTCTTTTTGATAATGTCATCCTGTAAACTAAATTCCAGCAATTAAGCCAGGCATAAATCAGCCATGTAACTGCATGCAGGGGGGCACCGGGGGCTGTGCCCCTCAAAAAGAAAATTGGGACCAAAACTTGCCCCCTCTGGCTACAGTTACTCCAAATGATTTGGATGATTTTTATTTTGTAAGATAATTGCTTTTGAAACGGACCGTACGCCTTTTGAAATAAGTAAAAAACTTGGAAAATTGTCAATGTTTCAAAATATTTTATATTAAAATTGTGTCAATTACGGCTGGGGTGCCAAGGTGAAGAATTTGCCTAGCTTTATGTTAGCAAAGTTACTTGAAATGAACTATGCTAGGAACAGGGCTTTAGCACTATCCCCACCCTTCTTAATGCTGAAAAGTAGCCAATTTCTGCTTTTGTTATTGTTTTTTGCAACATTTTCCACAAAGGGCCCACTTGGAGACACCAAGGAGGCATGTACAATCAAACCTCAGAAAGTTACCTGATTGAGGAAAGTGATTGCAAAGTTTTTAAGCATGTAATTCTCAGCCCATGCAATTGGAAACATGTGCAAGTTTTTGCTTGAAAATATGAATTAGCTTCTCGAATTATAGTGTACAGAATCTGCAGAATCACACTGTTGTATAGTTGTCTTTCAGCAAGGGCTGAATGTCTTTTTGTCCATGGTGTAGATTGATGCACCAAGAAGGCGACAAAGCACACCTTTTTGCCAGTGTTTTTTGGCTCACATTTTCTAACTCGAGAGATATCTTTAGAGGAATTTTCGGTTGAGTGGCTAAAGAAACCTCAAAGTTTGTTTTGAAATTCTGTTGTTGATGTGTTATGTTCTTAACTCATAGCTATTTGCAAGCTTGATATATTCCAAATCAACACATTATTCACTGTTATGAATTTCTTTCTTGTTTAAAAGCCTGCTCCCTCGACATATGATTCTTGCTTGAGTTTGCCCACCCCAGGGAATATCTACAGCTACCTGGCTAGCATAAACCTAGACTGAACCAAAGCAAAGGGCTATAACAATGCAGGAAATTTTTGATAATTTCAAATTGATAAATTAAACAAGCTTACAAGCTAGATGCTTTATTTAAATTGTGGTTTTAACAAAAGTCCTTTGTTCAGCTCCTGAAATTATAACCTGAGAATTCAATTTGTGTTGATGTTTTCCTTCAGGTCATCTTCAAAGCCCGATATTGCCAAAGTTATTCAGCTGCCTGACAAAGATTCTTGTCCTACTGGTATGGATTATTTCTTGACCTGGTTGTTGAGATCTCAGATTTTGCATATAAGTTCCATATTTCTTGCAGTAATTTTATATAATATACCTAATTACCAAGTTAAAAAATTTTCTTGTTTCTATAAGTTCAATTTGAGACTGCCAGACTGGAAACATTTTTGCTTGCCTTCAATCTATTGCCTGTACACAACTGCACCCACTTAGCATATTGGCCGAGCAAATACCATCCGCAATAACATTTAGTATTATTAACAATACAGTTTCCTTAGTGTGTGTGTGATTACAGGCCTGCAGGTGTGCAAGAATCAAAATTTCCAATCTGGACACTGCACTTTAAATCAGGTACTTTAAGAAATTGTAGTGTTACTAATGTAGTGTTACATACATTAGTACCAAGGAATCTTGTGCAGCCTAAATGCAAAAGCATGATGATATGTGAACAGGCAATATATTGCAGGCATCCAACAAATTTTTCTGTCTTGACTAATAAGATAAATTTTTATTTAGAAAATTTTTACTAAATGAACTGGCACTCAAAGGCATTAAATTTACCTTTTTTGCTGCTATTAGATGAAAACTAAAGAAGATCTTGCATGCTTCAAACATATTTTCCAAGTTGCGTTGTATTTACCCATCTCACTGAATTGCTGATCAGTTTCATATGATCAAAAATTTTGCTGGATTTTATTTATTAGTTTTCCCACAAAAGGAGCCTCTCTTCAAGAGACCCCCTAACAAATTATTGTGAACATTTATCTTTTTTTCATTTTTCTAGATCGAATCTTTTCTCAAAGTAATGTAGAGACTGATAGGAATGGTTGTTCAAGATCAGCTTTAGTAATTGTCACTTCAACAAGCAAGGAGAAAGAGACTGCCATTATCACAGCTGAAGATGAATGTGAGTATGTCAAAAAATGTGTATCTTGTAGTAAGCCAATTAATAAAGGCATGACAATCCTAGCAGTTTACTCCAAAACCAATTGTATTTTGGGAACAGGTACTGTCAAGGATAAGTTTTCCCCCTATGTATGTATGTATAATTTGCCACACTGAAAGTATTTACAAGTTATAAAAGTTAAAAAAAATATAATGCAATAATTTACTAGATGAGCCAAGGACTCTTGTCTTTGCAATTGTTTTGCCTTTGAATGTTTACCCCAACCACAAACTACTTTTGGTTTTTCTTCTTCAGTGGGAAGGATACTAAATATTCGAGCAATACTATGTTGAAATCTATTATAAGATAGCGGGAAATGCAATCACTTACTCCCAAGATTAAAAAGAAGTACTGTTTCACCAGTGCTTGATGCTGTGTTGGCAAAGCTGTACACACTTAAGTGTATTGGACAGGACAGTTTTTGCCCTTTAACTTCAAGTTTGATTCTTAATGCGATCACCAGATGTGGGCCTTCTCCCCATTTGATATAATCATTAGATATGTTGTTGATTTTAGTTTGCAATTTAGCTTTTGCTTGCTCTTTCAGCAACTGGAATTATGCTACGATGTGATGTATTTGTTGACACCATACACAGGATTGAGATTGCAACAACAACAAGAGAACTACTTTTAGGAGAAGCTCCTGAAGTTTTTGATGTATATGGTTATGACGAAGAAGGTTGTTGTTTTTGTTTGAATAAATTTTGATATATTTATCTACCCAGCTAATTAATGTCATTTATATTTAAAGGGGCTGTATCACAGTTTTGTAAACAAACCAAATACAAGGGACATTGTTCGTTTTGGCCTGACTTGCCCATCGGGATAATGGCAAATGGTTCTATGGTGCACCGATAAATTGTATTTTCTAAGCGAATTTTATTTATTTACTATATTACTATATATCTGCATTTGTACCAACTATCAAAACAAAAAGTGTACTTTCATTTTGGTCTAGGCTAAGGAAATGAAGCTACATTTAATTGTGACAAAGATATTCAATTTGTCTTTGTGAATTTAAATTGAATTAGACACTCTACAACAAAATGGTCACTCCAAATTTGTCCTGCAAACTTTAATAATGTTTTTTGCCCATAATTTACATTAGTTAGGTAGGTTTTTTAGCCTCATTTCAGCCAATTTCTATAAACCACTCCCTGCGAGTGGCTGTATCCTAGCTGTAAAAGTTGTCTTTGTTTTTTTTGTATCGCCATTCTTTCTTCAAAGAAATATGGTGATAAGACTGAAGGAAGAACCTTTATTATAAGTTTCCTTTCATAAAACATCTAAAAATGCAAAGGCTTAGCAGGATGCGCACAAAAAACTGTTTTACTCCATATTGGTTTTCCTATTGAACATAGGTTGTTTCACCAGAACAACGTTTGCAAACTGCCGTATTGCCATGCAAGATGTCCCTTGTGACACAGCCCCTTTAAGGCCTATGCACCATCTATTTTTATCAGTTGACAAATATTTTGGTTGCCATAAAATAGGAGACTCTTTTCCTTGGTACTGTTTTTGTCACTGAGACTGTCTAAATATGCACATGGTTGTCTATTTTTTGAAAGTTAGCATTAATTAATCTTTAATGTTCTTATCTTTTCTTTTCATTAGAAAGCTACTGTAGTTCACTTAAATGCTTAATTTTTTGCAGGAAACTTGTTTTCTTCTCTGGGCAGTACAGTTTTTGAATGGCATTTATCACCTTCTACTGTTAGTGAAGTTGTTGACCCAGCAACAGTCTTGAGGTTTGTAGTGCTTACTGTATAATCTGTTCCTTACACATTTTGCTCAGACACTTTTATAAAATTTTCTTACAGTGGAAAGTTCAAGGGAAAGGTGGGGGGCTATAGTCTATATTTTTCTACATTTTCTGGAAAAGTAGCAAAATATCCAACATTTTTCAAAGTTTGTTTCATTATGGGGCTATAGGACCCCATACCCCAGCCACTGTGCCCCCGAATTGCATTACACCCACCGTCTGCATGAAACATGATATATTTACTGTGTTTCTTATGCCTTCTGGTTTCTGTTCAAGGATGTGTAAATGGCTAGCTGCCTTGTTAGACATGGCTACTTGGCTTTGTAAGCAAATGCAATTGAAAAAATGTTCAGTATTTTCTCTCAAAAACGTGATCTTTTATTTTCAGATTTCTGCAGTTTCAAGATACTTCTTATGACACAGAACCAGAAATACAAATTCTTGAAGAAAAGGTATTTTGATTTACTGTGATATATACAGAAAGTGAAACAAAGTATCATTTTGTTGGCCTGCCAGGGACAGTCTATGTTTATCTAAAATAAAAAAATGAGAAAAGCATTTCATGTGATTAATAGATAAAGTTGATATTGCTTTCATGCCAATTAAAGCATCTTATAACTCAAGATCTGCAAGGGTAATATGGAATTTCAGCATCAAAAGGGAATCTCCACCACATTGTGATCTGCTTGAGAATGATAAGCCTGCATAGTGCCCTGTGATCATTTGAAATTGAATTGTTTCTTTATTTGTTCCTTTGAGTACTGAAGTTTCTCAATTTTCTCAACTTTTCAGTACCTACTTATTTCTTGTAGCAAGGTTCTAATAAAAGAAACTGAGGGCAGGTTGAATATTTCTTTGCCATGCACCAGTCGTGTTTCTTGTAGGGACTTCAAGGAAGTAGTGTCATAATGGAGGGTATAAACACTGGAGAGGCTTTTGTTAGTGCAAAGCTAGCCCATGCGGAGTACAAGGTTTGTTTTTAAAATTGTTTAAGTATCTGTTAATCAGTGCCTCGTTGCTTTTGAATACCTATTTCCGTACGTTTTAGGCTTTGTACACACTCTCCAAGATGTTTACTTATGATCTTTATGTATGTTTAAAAACGATTTAATAATTGCAAATAAGCCAATGACACTGTAAAATTTTAAAATAGCGGAGAAAAGTGGGATCGTTTAAAATAATACACAATCATTACCAAAGACTGTTGGAACACTGCCATATTTAGGATTAAATTTGTGACATCAACGTTCTGGAGTTATCCACACTACTGCTACAGAACTCTTCACAATGTAAATTTACTTTAAATTAAAGTTATTTTCATTGCATTTGCCATCCACTTGTTTGAACCATTTTAAAGCCATTATTTTAAACTCTGGAGTAAGGTACGCGAAACTGGTTTGTTGTACTAATCTCTTATTCTTATTTGTATATTTTTTTCTTTGCAGCACGTTTCTCCTTCAACAGTTAAATTGATGGTGATTGATAACATCGTACTTCAACCATCAAAAGACATGTATATTTTGATTGGCACCAAAGTGTTTTACAAGGTCAAGCAACTCAGACGAGGACATGCAAAAGGTAATTGTTTCGCAGGACATAAATTTCAACTGCGCCTTCATTGCTCTGATTTGCTCGCACTTACCTCCGTCTTTGCTACCAGTTGATTCAGTATAGAGCTATTAAGGTCACTATTAAGGTGCGAGAATGGCTCAGTTGTTAGAGGCGCTGACTACAGACCCAAGGGTCCGTGGTTCGAGTCCCTGGCATGACCAAACTTTCACCAAGAGTGGGGAGGGTCGCCAGCTCTCTGTAATTCCAGGCGTAGGAATCACGAGGTGTGGTCACATCGAGAGGAAGGAACAGGACACTGCTCGATAAGCATAGCTTCTCAGTGTCCTAAAACTACTTTCGGATGCTAGATAGCAACAAATACAAATACAAATAGTTCTCGTGTAAGGCTTCTTAAAACAAATAGACTATGCTGTGCTCCTATCACGGTAGTAGTCTCCCGTCTTGTCTTCTTCTAGAGAACCTGTAGCCGTTCTTTAGACTTTTACTGGTCGAAATTGATTCCTTCTTTTACCATGAAAACTTTAAATGATCAAATCAAATCTGCTTTTAAAATCAAACACAGCACACTCTACAAACTTCCTGTTGTTTAAATATTGCATTTACATCGTACTTGCTTCGCATCTTCCACGTTTTTGCTCCATAGATCCCTATATAGTTAACAAACTTCCATGTGTAATTCATTTTACAACTTGTTATTTTGATACATGGTTCTTATGCATGCTGTCGCTTTGTCAACAGAAATTCAGATGCCATCGTCGCAGTACCGTTTACAATTGGACAAAGATGAGATTGCAGAATTAAACCATGCCGACTCGAGCATCACTGGTTTACGCCTTGGATCTGTCAAGGTCCTTTTGATTGATAACAGTATCCTTTCTCTTGTCAATCACATATCATTTGGATTTCATCTTTATTACTTTCACGATTTGACAAATTGATAGTAGTTAATACAGTTTTCTCAGTATTACCAGATACTGCTTTCTGAACCACACCAGAGGAGAACGTTAATAGCTGAAGATTCAGTAAAGCTGCTCATAAAAAGCAAAAGTTTTCCTGGCAAAAATATTCCGCGTAATTTGGAGACTTTTTTATAGCTGTTTGCCTTAAAAACAAGTACTGCTTTAAGATTTCAGATAAAAATAAGATAAACGCTATAACTTTAATCTTTTCTTAAGGTTTTGATAGCTGAAGTAAAATTTCTAAAGTTGAGATAAAGAAGAGTCCTTACAACCCTTGTATGTTCCACAAGCTACTCGTTGACGCCTTTGCTATTCAGAAAGAATTTATGCAAAGAGTCTCCAAATAAGCTTAGAAAAAGTCCAATTACTTCAGCATCATCATTTTCACTCTTTTTAATATTTTCATATTACTTCTAAGCTTATTTTTAGATTGAGTTGACTATAAATTATGGTTACATATGGTTCAATTCTATGTCGACGTTAAGAGAATTTATACACTATCAGAGATAGGTTTAACGTCTCTTTTACTTATTTAAAGCATGTGTTGTAAAATGTTATCAAGGTTAAAAATATTAGTTCTGTATTCTAATGGATATTTCTGCACTCAACCAAAGAGAAGACATTAAACATTTGGGTAGACCATTGTTATATTTCTAATGCCTCCATTCTTAGTAATTCCTTGTTGATACTTTCTCTCGAAGTGCGTAAATGTTGATGTTTCTATTATAACTTTAACGTTTAATTAGATGTTGCTCATACGAAGTCACTCAGACAGCCTTCAGCCACGATTCACGTTGTCGAGCCTGAGTCACTCGGTAACTTTCCTTTTTTGTCTTAATTTTTATCGGGATATCTCTACTGATTATGTTAATTATGCAAATGCCAGGTCACGTGTTTCTTCGGATGCTGATTGGATCCGATTGTGACCGGAATGGGCCATGTAATTCTTAAATGACACAAAGATACTACCATGTATGGAATTGAAATCGTAAAGCAAGCTAAAGATAGAAAAATTGCAATAGTTTCTTTCATTTCAATATTCTGATTCACGCCATAGCCGGCTCCTAGTGCAAAGAGATGAAAAAACGATCATTCCCTATCAGAATTACGTCATTAGTGGCCAATATTCTCGTATCACATTGTCAGAGTCAAGAAAACATTACGGTCGCACGGCCACTGACCGGAGGAAGGTCCACGAAAAACAATAGAGGCTCCAATGACACACCCAAGCCACGCCCACTTTCTATTGTTTCGTGAGGAAGGGTTTGCCTTTTCTGGACTCTGCACATTGTTGTGCTCAGATCCGCTGGGCTTCACTGGAAGAAAGTTATTGATAAATGGACTGAGTCTCTCTAAAATCACTTAAGCAAATGACTACTTGGCTACTTTCTTCTCATACAAATATGAATCGTATTGAAATGTCGTTATAAGGTACTAGGCGTTTCAGTGTTTTTCTTAAGATACGACATGCCCTAATTGCCTGACATGCTTGTCTTAAGTTATTGCTTTTTTTCTTGAGATATGACATAATAGATATGAGATCTGGTTTGAAAATGTATTTTTTCAGGATTTGCTATTGCGCCTGGCAATTCATGGGTGCTTCAAACTGGCAAGGAATATGTCATCAACGTCGAAGTGTTCGATGCACAAAAGCACAAGATCCTAATAACAGATGTAAGACAACCTGTTTTATTTTCCGCATCCAAGCAAGGTCTTAGATAAACACGTGGGCATTTTTTATGTCATTTGAAAGCAGTTCTCGGATATATACTCAATATGCTACCTTGCCTGGTTTATGATAATAATTCACATTGATATGAGTAGCTGCTTGTGAATAAGGCGCATGATAACATGCTTCATACAATCCGTAAAATACGAGGGTTTAAATATTTTAAGGAGGTTTTTCGCTGGCAAACTGGAAGCCTCTTTCTGCTTTTGATTTATATGGTCCAGTACTGACAGATAAATGGGGAGCAACTGGGATACCATAGGCACTTCCATTTTTCATTTCAACAGTGTAAAGTCAATTTCTGGTCCTTCTCGTTCCTATGTCCCAGCCCCCGAACCCTCAATCCAAGCCCCCGGTTCAAGTGAAGCCTCCAATTCAAGGCCCCCAATCCAAGTGTTGTCTTTCGGCCATGGTTTATGTATCCTATAATGGAGACGAGATGGGAAATGTTTACGAGGTCACTAAATAGATGCTGTTGTAAAAGTTTGTGGGTCAATTGTTTTTTAATTTGCATTCGACGAATTTTTCTTGCAGAATACGGTTATGACTTCAATGCTTGAAGAAGAATTTGTTGGAATGAAATTCAAGTCTGCAAATAACTCATATCACCGCATCAAAGCCCTTAAAAAAGGAAAAACAGTTGTCAATGCCACGCTTTATGGTGTTAAGGTATTTAAAGTTCTCATGCGTGTTTTTATTGATGAATATAAAATCCATGTAATGTTTCACGTTGCCTGATGCTGGCAGAACATCGTATTAAGCTTTGGTGTAATAGCCTACAATCATTTTGTTCCACTTACACAGCGTCTACCATACCTTTTTGCATTTATACAATCTATGAAGTCGTTCAGTCTTTGGCCTGGTGTTACAAGGAATCCCTTAATCTTATTCGGGCTTACAAGGTTCCTGAATGGTTATTTACATGTTTTTAAGTGATCTTAATTTCCATGTTGTATTGCTTCAAAAGTTCTTGCTCAGAATCAAGTAAAGTTTGAATCTTCCTCCGGACAGAACACTTCCTCATAAAAACGCGAAGGTCTGTAAACCTTACTCAGTAAAACAATCAAATAAGGCGGGGTTTGGGTGTGGCAATTTAATTTCTTTTGTTTTCATTGGCCTTTTTTAAGGTCGCTGTCCGTGTGGCCACTGTGTCTTCTGGGCTCAGGTTTTACTGTTTTATTGTCCAAGACTGTTTAATCGCCATGTTATTTTGCAACTGCTAACTTTTTAGATTCATTAAAAAACTTTCCATTCAGTCTAAATTTTTTTATTATGAGCAATTTCATTACAGTCTTCTTGTGAAAAATCTTTCTTTTTAGGCCGAAAATGGCACAGAAATCAAGTTGAAAAAACCGATTTTTGGTGAAAAGATTATCGAAATTTTTGACGAGATCAAGGTGGAACCCAGTTTGGTCATCTTCCCCTGGGATCCCAATGCAGAATCTATTTATAACATTCAGCTAAAGGTATGTTTATTATGAAGGCATTTTAAACACTTCCTCTTGAAAGCATGGTATCAAGATAGGGATACAAGCATCTATGGAAAAGGGATGCGAAAGGAATGAAAAAGGCCCTTCATTATTTACATTGCTAATGAGACTTGGCCATAGCTAAAAGGGGCTGTATGTTGGAAAATTCCACTGAAGGGAATGGTATATTTCATTTAAAGGGGTATTGCCTGAAAGCCTTTTTATAAGCAAACGATAATAAAGACACTGTAATGATAAATCTAAATACTTTAGTGACAGAGGCAGGATCACCAGAGGAGCAAATCACGCCATGAAAATTTCGTACACCCTTTTAGCCCACCGTTTTAGCTGAAAATTGTTGGATGCTCATTTTCTTTCGTTGTATTCTATTACGATATTTGCAGAAGTGAATTGCTTCTCGGGATCACCCATTGCTGCTGACGCAACATGCTTAGACCCCCCCCATCTTCCACACCATTTTTTATTCTTTTGGTATATACCCAAATATTTTTATTTCGTATCCATAGATATACAATTTTTCATTACAAATCACAATCTGCAATTGGTTTTGTGAATTAAATGCTTTCTATTGTATCATCCATTCTAAATTCTTATATTTTGAAAATGGCAGCTCTTTGCCCCTTCGTCTGTGCATTGCTTGATTCTAAACGTCAACCCGTTTCATCTTTGAGGCTACTGGTGGTAGCGGAGCTTATCAGTGGGCCTCGCAGAATTATTCAGTCTGTACAGTAACAAACAAGGGGTTGGCAAAAACAGAAGGTCCACTTGGAACGTCAGTTATAAAGGCCAGTGATAAAAGGAACAATATGCATTTTGGACTGTCCAAGGTTTTCGTCCTCCCACCAGAGGAAATGCATTTCATTGCAACAAAGGTAGAAGCGGAAATCGGTCAAGTACTGGAGTTGCCTTTGTCTGTCTCGGCTTACGTGAATGTGGACGGTAAGTTAAAATTCTCAGAATTGCAATTGTTCCATGTTTTGTTAATATGGAAACAATATGAAAATTGAAAAGTATAAGGTGGTTGATACCCAGTCGAACTAAGCTGATTGCGACTTTACACAATGAAATCTTTTGATTCTTTTTTGTTACTCAGATTCTTTTACTAATATTTCTTTTTTGCAGGTAAAAGGATTTTAAAGACCTTTCAAGACTGCAGAAAGCTCTCTCTCGCCAAATCGCTTTCTGTTGAATCAGTCTTTGCCATTGACAGAATAGACGAAAGTGGGTATAATTTTCATTTTGGTTGTTACCGGTATCCAACTTTATGATTGTTTAGACAGATATTCCACCAATGCTTCATTAAAATATTTTGAGTGGTGTGGAATGTCTTTTTAAAATTCATTAAAAATAATGGCAAGGCTGAATTGAAACATAAAACCACACATCAATGTGATATGCAACTGAAAGGTGATGACCAATGTGATCTCTATTTATCAATGAAAGTTTTTTTCGGTAGCTTATTTCTTTTTGAACACTCCCCTCCTGCAAACTCGTTAGATAAAAACGATCACTACCTATAATTGTCCTTTGAGGTATTTTCGACTCAACACTGGCATGGTCAATGCGTTAAGATTCGGCGCTTGCACTATTTTTATATTGCTTTGTATTTCTCAAGTTGCCATATTGTTTTGGCCAATATTGTTAGGTTTTCTCTTCCTTTGAAACGTGTCTGCTCTCCTAGACTCGCAAATTACGCATAAGAGTCATGGATTTCTGTATCTGCGCGAGCAATTTTCTATAACCGTCAGGAATTGCTACTATCCATTTACTTGTAATTGGTAAAATTTTATTGTAAAGGCACCTAATCTGAAGTTTCTTTTATCGGGGTTCTTCTGTGCATAGGTTTTTAAGAAGATTGTATCGTTCCTTCTAGCTACTCCCTTACACTGTGTCGACTTCAGCATTCCCAAGGATGTTTTGATAAGTGACTTTGTGCTAATTTTCGTTCTGGCTTTTTCTTGATCAGGTCGCTCCTCTCAGGAAGGCTCTTGCTTAGTGATCAAGCTCAAAGCACTGAAGAGTGGGTTTGCAACGCTAACTGTTTCCCATGATGCAAATGGCGTGGTCATCAAAGCAAGCATTACTGTTGGCGCATATTCACCACTAGTTGTACGTATTAGAAAAATCAATAGACTTCATAACAATCTATTGAACCAATATAGTGTAACAAAGCGATTATGACACGTTAGTCTTTCATTACCAGCACTGGTTCATACAAAGAATCTTTTTGATGAGAAGAATCAATGTTGAAAATGTCGCATTTTATTTTATTTTTATTTTAATTTAGGTTTTCAGTGATTCAGCAGATGACAGTTTTCAGTGCAAAATGTTTCTTAGTTGATCTTACACGGTTCAAAAGAGGCATACAGCAGAAAGCTCCGTTAGCAGTTTAAATTCCTAATGCGCATTGTGAAAGACTCACTCGCTCAATTTTCTCTAGTCATTAATATTAGAATCATTGATACACACGTTTTCAGATCTACTACAGATGTAACTTTGCTGTCATGTTCTAGAACGTGGCACCATTGTGTTGTAGGTATTACCAATCCCGAATCTATCTCATTTTTCTGTACTTGCTCAGAGTACTCGCATTTTTGCTTTCTTCTACCTAGAGATTTATTAAAATGGCTTAAGATGTCAACGTAAGCCATAAAAAACAAAAGTTTTGTCTAATCATGAATATGAATTTTAATTATTCAATTAGGTTGTGCACCCAAAAGATTTTGCCAGTGTTACTCTTGGATCAAGTGAGATAGTCACACTGGCTGGTGGACCTCGACCTTGGATTTTGGATTCAAGTGGATTTTATGAATATTGTAAGTTAGACAACAGCATATTACTAACTCCGAACACAGTCTAAATTGAAATATATTATTTTTCCCTTGATATTTAACAATAAGCTAACTTTTATCAACAGTATCTGCTGAAGAGGACGAGTTTGTTTCAATACAACCATTAAAGCAAACAGATGTATCTGGTAAGTGCATACTTATACAGACGCTTGACTACAAATATGCGCCACTGTTTGGTAAACGCCCCATTTTTTGTATAGACCTAATCGAATACATCATACATTTCTACTTGTATGTTGTATTCTACACTGCAGTGCGCTCCATCGTGAAAAAGATAGATAGCTGTAAGTGATACCTAAAATTGCACTCTCCCTCTTAGTTAAACCCTTCAATACTGTTGAATTGAAAAAGGGACATCATGCACTTTGTTTTAGGACTAAATTTATATGCTATATACTATTAAGAAATAGACTGTAATGTGTTTGCATGGATGCACTCTGCATGTATCTGCATGCATGTTTCTGTCAACAGTACAGTTTTTATCAAGTATACAATTCACCGATCCAACTTACAGGCATGTTTTGGAAATAACCCCAAACTTCTTGGGGATTTTACGACATGTCGAAACTTGAAAGGATTTGGCCGACAAGATGGCTTCGGTTGACTTGTTAACCTTTGCCACTTTTCTTGTTCAATTTCCTTATGAACTTTTTAACTTTTTGTCATATTTGTATTTTTCGTCATCGCCCCCCTCTTCATTTGAATTGTCTCTTCATCATTTAGCATTTAAAGAGAAAGCGGATGATGTCCATTATTTCCAAGTCACGTGCAAGCAGCTGACCGAAATGCAGGTTTGGAAAAGTCTCTTTGAGATCATAGCCCGTTGTGTTTCACCAGTAAAAGAAAAAGCTCCATCCTTTACTGAATTATAACCGCTTGAATTTGTTAACTGGCAGTTATAATCTATAACTGGCAGTATTAGTACTTATTAGAAGGACTCGATTTTTTAGAAGAAGACTAATCTCTCCCGAACATCTCCCATACCAAATATTCTCGACACATTTTGATGTACATTCCCCTTTTTTACCACCAAACTATCCACATAATGGCGAACGGTGCACCAAAATTACTTTCCGCCGTGGAGCCCATTGAAGCTAAGTTTTTCTGTTTTTCTCTAAGAGTGAAGATTTTGAATTTGTTATGCTCTCAACACGAATCCCCAAGCTATAATTGTTGGCTTAGTTATGTCCCAGCTAGGAACTGGCTCATATTATATGGAGTATCCATAAAATCCTGATAGCTTTTTATAAGGGTATGTTAAATAACTAAAAGGTAATATAGGGATATGCAAGCCAACAGTTTTGAAGGAGCAGCCTGCTGAAATTGTTTCCAGCTGCCTCGAAAAGTGTATCACGTTTTATGACACATTCTTCCTATCTTACAGATTTTGTCCGGACAAGTTGGAAATAAGCCCACTGCTAAAAATCAGTACCCAGCAAGTGCCATAACAGAACTCAGGTATATAATGTTTTTAGTGATAGCAACTCGTGAATGACAGTAATAGTAACAATAGCAATATAGTAACATAATGAAAGTTACTGTTTACTGGTCTGTCAAAAAGTGCTAGATGCCATATGGGCAGAGCTGTTCACGCATGGGAGCAGCTGTCTTATGATCGCATTAAGCACGAAGTGTGGAGGAGCAACTTAGAACCGTCCTGTTCTATACACCAAAAGCATAATAGTAGCATGAACATCTATGCATGCAAATCTTTGTCAGTGGTATAGTACTGTTCTCACTAACAGCCCTGTTCAAAAGCTTGAAAAGGAATTATAATCAATATTTTATACAGTGCTATTTACACAAAAAAAGCTAAAAATGCCCTCCAAAGTTTGTCGTTGAAAATCATCTAGCGGGAAGGCGTAGTCTTAAAAAATCAACATAGTCTTAATTTTATATGCCCGTTAGCGGTATATTTGTCCCCTCCATGTCTAAGCGATTCGAATGTCAGAAAGCAACAAGGGACATGATTTGGATAGACTTTTTAAGGCAATCATGTAGAATAAGATGGCTATTTAGTACGGATAGGGATAAGATTATACCATAGTGCTTGCCTGGAATTGAGCAAAGTTCAGGACTTTGTAGCCGTTTGAGTTTTTTAAACATAATGTTGATATTATAGGTATTATCATACTTAGTCTAGGTTTTACTAAAGTGATCGTGAGCTCACGAGAAATTAAGCTGCTAGTTAACTTTTGAATTGAATACGATTGACTAGGAGACGTTTTGTTAAGCTATGATTTTACTTCGAACGTTTATTGTTGTAAGATTATCCGCTTTTGGAAGAAAATAAGTGCTGGTCTGATCTGGTCTTTCCTCACCCTTCAAATGACTCCCGCCTTTCAATTAATTACAGTTTCACCTACCTCTTTGCAGATTTTTATGCAGTCCACCCGGTTCCTTGTCTTTGCAACCAGACATTCTCTTGCCTGTCATTGCTGGCCAGCAAATGACTTTGGAGACTTGCAAAGATACTAACAAACTTGTAAGTTTTGCGGAATTTTATAATATCATTTGCGGATGAAACTGCATCATGCTTTGCGTTTTCGTGACTGATATGTGAGGGCCTTATGGCGTATGCTTTCTTTAATTTCTAGTATTGAATAAACCTTGCCAAACATACCATTATTTTCCCTGTTGATAGTTTTCTTCATCCTTATACAATGCTGATTGCTCTAAATGCAGTTTCAGTACAATATTGTATTTAATTATCACAGTAATACAATTTGTAAAGCAGATTAACTTGTCTGTAGGCAGTACAACTATCAACAATATACATTTATAAGACAAATTTTTTAAATATGTTTCTGGTAGCTGGAAAGCATTGGTCGTTAATTTTGCCAGCAACTCTTTGAACATGTTTCCAGTGGTGGACACCTGGGAGGGGGGGGGGTCTCCCCTCAATATTTTAGAGGACAATGGTCTTTTATTCTAAAGCAATGGGAAAATGTGACGTCATCCTATAAGAACAATAGGCTTGCCCCCCCTCACAATATTTGACCAAGTGTCCGCCCCTGCATGTATCATTTCTATTTGCTCAAATTTACACCTGTAAATATTACTAATTCCCATCTTTAGATTCCTGTTCTCAATAAACGTGAGCTAGTCATTCTTCTTATGGTTCGCGATCAGAATGGACAAATATTTGCGAATGCCTCATCCCTGGACATCGTATGGACTTCAAGTGACAGAAATTTGGCCGAGATTTCCCAGCAAACATCGCTGAGCTACAGTATTAAAAGCAATACAACTGTTTCCGGTATACATAATACTTTTAGCTTGTATAAATAGACGTTTGAATGTGGTTTTATGTGGTATAAACTGTAGAATGTTATTGTACCCTCGTTTCCTTAATAATATGTTTTAAGTTTTGGTTTTCTGAAACGAATAATAAAAGCTCTGAAATGAAAGCTCTTTCAGCAGTTTGTCACTGAAAGACAATGAAAGTTGGCCAGGAAAGTTCTTAAGGACTTAAAAATATTATTGTAGAAAGCAAAAATCATTTAACGACTTTGCTTGGCAATTTTCATTTTCACAGCCATAATAGTTTTTCATACTCACGCCAAATCTGTATCCTAGCATTTTTGAAATAGTGGAGAACGTTTTCAGTTAGCAAACCTTTTGCAAATATCTCTTATTTTCAGCCACGCAGATGGTTGTTTTGTCCGGGAAGACCGGGCCTGTAGTTATCAATGCGAAAGTTTCAGGCTATCGTGAAGTTGCATTGTATGCCATTGGCTATTATGAGGACGATGCAAAGGTGAGAAGTCCGAGATATTTTATAAATAAACTATTGGGTCTAAACTCTGTTATATCTCGCAGTTTAATGGGACCTTGCGAAGATTTGCTTGTCTCGACCCGATAGGGTATATACTAGTTCCAAACTGAATGCAAAATGACTGTATTGTTTTGAGAACCAGCCAGGGCTGTGAATGTGTTTGCAATTTGAAAGTATACTTTGTCCGTTATAGTCAAACCCTATAGGTTTAATGTTTTAGTAAAGAACAATTGGTACGTTTCACCCCTTTCAATGGTTATGTGCGACCAACAGTGCATTCATTTTCCAATAAGGGCAGTGGTACAGTAAATAGATTTAGTAAGTGGTGACTTTTTTGACACTTTTGATGGGCTCTGACACAGGCTGGAAAATGGGGGGGGGGGGCAAGGGAACATTTAGCACCCATAACAACAAATTTTGAAAAAACTATATTGTTCCGCAAAAAAGGTGGCGTGCCCCCCCTCCCCTCTTCATCCGAGGCCCTGCTATTGTATACGTAACGAGAATTTACCTGCGAACTTAAGCCTGATTGAAAACTGAAATAAGGCAGTACTTGGAAGAAAAGAAACGCCTGTTTCAGTCGTCCTGTATGCATATATCGCTCTTCTAATTATAGGGCTTTCCAGGTTAATTAAGACAAGCTTTATTGAGCAATCTAATACTAAACTTCAATCGGTTTTGATTTCTTTAATAGACTTCGGTATTTTTCTTCACAGTTCCCTTGAAGTTTTGTTACCTCTGCTGTTGTTACAATTGCTACAATATGGATGCTAACTCGCACATTTTGTTTTAACAGGCCAAAATCAACCCTCCAATAGTCGGAAGTCTGGGTCTTCTGCTTGTGAACGAACGGGTTATAGTACCTCAGAGTCTGGTCATCTTTGCTCACCCAGAAAACAAGGTAAAATATTCTTTGTTGCAATTAACCGTAGCGCTCTTGGCGGAAGCAATTATTCAAAGCATATATTTCGCCAGGGGGCGTTTGTTGAAGCTGTTGTTTTACAAATGAGAAATTATATCTTTCGCATCTTCAAGATATGGTTTTGACTTTTATGATGTATCATAAATTTTTAACTTGTTTTCGTTTGTCAACAATGCGTGTTCAAAATGTATTACTTCAGCCGCAAAATTATGCGTTAGCCAGGCCAGGTAGACTACATTTAGGTGTCCTTGTGGAAGTTGATAATTTTTTGAAGTTAGAATTCTCAGGATTCTGTAGAAGTTTGATAAATCATATTGTAATCTCATATAACTGTTACATTTCAATGCGCCTCATTCACTAAGTGAATTCCGTTTCAACAATTGTCTTTTCAGGCCCATTTGAAAATGAAATATGGCTCGCATCATCACCGAGTGAGAAGCAATGGAGATCACTTTGCTTCGATTCAAAACATGAATTCAGAATTAACGGTATGTCAAACAGTTTATTTTATTACATCGAAATGTTCCCGTCGTGGGGTGCTTCCCTATACAACATATTGAGGAACTTGTATATTAAAGAGGTGTATGGGCATATTACGGAGGGATGCTTGTTGAAGAGAATTCCTCAGGTGATAAAGGCTTGTAGTTAGAGAAAAGGATTCATAGTATAGTTGTCCTGGTGAAGGAGAGGTTCCTGTCACGGGAAGTTGCAAAATGAGGTAAAAGATCATAGTTAAGAAGGGAAAAAGATGCTTGTTATGATAAAAAGGAATGATGCTTAAGGGGGGGGGGGGTTTTAAGGTTAAGAAATGTTCAAGACATATAATGCTTATCATATGTAGGCTGTACTTGGTGCTCATACTGATTATCATAATTATTCACATCGTTTTCATCATCATTAAGTTTCTTAGAATACTGGCTTGCTGAATGTTTCAATTTTGGAATCGTCTCTCTACAGATCACTCCACGTGCTCCTGGGAAACTCGTTTTGATGGTCGATGACGTATGCTTGGATGCAGAGGCTCCTGCTACTGCCCACATTACGCTGGCTGATATATTCAGCTTGCATGTTGTTGTTGCTGATAAGGTATTGCTTGCTTCTCACTTATTCACTTGAAAGGTTTACAGTCAATAAAGGTCTGTTTAAACTAAAAACAAACGCGTGCGCCGTTTACAGGCAAATTTCCTAAAAGTACTTCCGTGTTATATTAAAACGACATTTTTAAAAAATTGCCGCCTTTTTATCCCCTAAATTTGACAAGGAAATTATGGTTTAAGAAAGTCGTTGCCGGCCAACAAATGGATGCTCTATGTCCTTTAACGACATGTCCTTTAAAGTCGTTTTTGAAAGAGGGTAGATATGATTTTATATGTGAGATGCTATTGATCAAAATGTGTTTCTTCTTTACTTAAGATTATCTTTAAACTGTTTATGGTTCATCACCTTTATTGCTCTTAAGAAAATCCCTCTTATGTAACCCTGTTTTAATATCTAAAGACTTGTCTTTATCTTTGAGTCTTTCTACTCAGACCTCAACTCTAGGGAAATCTTCAAGGATTTTTATTCGATTTTATAACATCTTTCAACATTCCCTTTATCATTTAATTTTTTTCATATCATTGTGCCTTTAACAGGGGCTGTATTTATTCTATAACATGTCTCATTCTTCTTCTTCTTCTTTTTCTTCTTCTTCTTCTTGTGCATTATAATACTTCTTTTGTAGGTTGGTCTTCATGAAACGATCAAAGCCATAGTCCAGATTAAGGACAGCGAAGGGAACTTCCTAAGCTTCAATTCGATGAAGTTAATGACATTGACCCCGAAGTTCTCACATGACCTTATCAAAATCAAGTGGGTAACCATTCTGATTCTGTTTTCTAAAGATAAGGCGTGTGTTTGGCTCAGTTCTTTCGTCTTGATACGGTTTGTATTGAGAAAAGGGATGATGGTTTAGAATTTATACAAGTAGTTGAGTGAGTTCTGTCAATGCCTATCAACCATACCTTTTCGCTTGGTTACCGGGCTATAAAAAATCAATGCATAAATTATATAGACTGAAGAATCTTGTTAGTATTCTTCAACAAACGACAAAAATTACCAAGTGCTCGCACAACTGCATTGCTAATGGTTGAGGGTTCAAATCTTTAGAAACTCGCGTTTTGTCAATATAGCAGCAAACAGGAACCCTGTAACAGCAGAAAGGCTAAAGGCAGCCAGAAAAGGAGCTGCCCCCCTCCGATTTCATGCTGCTTGCCAAGAACAAATATATCCTTAGCAGTCACCTACCCTTTGTTCGCATCGCATATTTGAATCATCTGTCCTTAAACAACCGTCAAGTTTCTATTTAACTAGTTAGAATTTTCTGTTTTCAGAGCTGATGACCCAGAAACGGATGGGGTGTTTTCGGACAAGGCAATATTCACTTTAGAGGGGACCGCTGTTGGAGTGACCAGTTTGACATTTGATGCCACTAAAGCCAATAAGATAAGAATAGCAAGCAAGCCAAAGGACATACAGGTAATTACTGGGGAGTCTTCGCGTGTGTGAACGCATTAGTAGCACAAACCAGCGAAAAGAAATCAATCACCTCTGCTGTCAAGAAATGCAGACGAGATTGTGGCATGCTTGAGAATCTTAGGTTTTAATATAATTAAATTATTGTTCTGTAGTGAATGTCAGAATCAGAAAAGCACTCTCGCCGATAGTCTTGATTAAATGCTTGATAAAAAAGGGATCAAAACTAACGGACGTTTTTTTCTGAGAAAAGTTTGGAGTTTACAGATGTTTATCTGCAACCCCATATCGATGAAGGGTCAAAGAAATGAGGGTATAATCCGTTCGCTACAGTCATGGAAAGGAAAAGAATAGAGAATTGTGTTTAAAATTTGTAAAACTGCAGTCCTCGAAAAGTTCCGAGCTGAAACTATCGTCCCAGAATTCCCCTGAAGAATATATATGAAAATAGAGAAAAAACCATCAGAAAACCGTCAAGTGAAATCAACAGGTTGATTTATTTGTTCAAAGAAATATTTTTTCTTACAAAGTGTTATATTTTGCCCGTGCGCAAAAACGTTAAATCAAACGTCAGAGCAGCTTTTTAAACATCAGATTAGAACTTTGTTTGTTATTACAACGCGGAACTGAACCACTTGCGATCTGCGACTTCTTCTGCTTGTTAACAACTCTCAGGCATGCTACTTCTGCAGTACATTCTAGGACTAACTGCGTGGCTCTTTCAAGTATGATCTTTTTAACTGTAATTTCTTCTCCCCTCCCTCCCTCTCACCACTATAATCCTTTTACTGTAATTTTTGTGCTCTATCTTGAGCTGATTAGTAAATATCCACAAAAAAGGTTCCATGTGACTTAAAATATGTATTTATTTGTAGTTATGACTGTAATGTAAGCTTCAAAGTGTGAATGCAAAGATACCATCTCTTGTTAGCTGTGTACGCAGCTCCATGCATACTATCCATGGGCTATGTATATTGCAGTATTAGTATACATTCATCCTACTCGTGAAACTGTAGTATGCAAATAGCATTGAATTGAATTGCGGGGACGCCTCAACGAAAGCGTGTGTATCCTGCTTACTGCATTGCTGCTCACTGCATTGCTGCTTACTGCATTGCTGCTCACTGCATTGCTGCTCACTGCATTGCTGCTCACTGCATTGCTGCTCACTGCATTGCTGCTTACTGCATTGCTGCTTACTGCATTGCTGCTCACTGCATTGCTGCTCACTGCATTGCTGCTCACTGCATTGCTGCTCACTGCATTGCTGCTCACTGCATTGCTGCTTATTCTAATTGTATGATATCCACTGATTGTATTATTCTGTGATAATTTGGTAATCGTCTGTTTGCAAAAAGTAATTTTAAAAAGAATCAATAAGATAAGAAGGCAAGATGGAAGCAAGTGATAGCTGCCCTGAGGAATTGTATCTTTCAGCATTTGTGCCCGCTAGGAGGACCTTAGCGCTTCGTAAATTTTCACTGCCTGCTTGTTGGTTATTAAGATGAAATGCATTCTCCTCGCTATCTAGTGGTTATTCTCTCTTAGGTGTTCCCACCACTTGAGCTGGAACCTAAGCATATTGTCCTGATTGCTGGAGCAACATTCCAGGTACGTTCCATGTACTATAGTTTCATATCGTTCCTTACACTGTCGTTGATGCAAGCTGACCCTGCGAGTTTGTGATAAAGTTGCTTGCTATTTTTTATAATTGGTAGCCTTTTTCAATATTTTGCAATGCAACGCATTGCTTCTTCAAGGTTTATAATGACGAAAATCGTGACAGGTATAATGACGAAAATATGTGGTAAAAAGTAATGTCTTTGTAAAAATAGCTTGTTGTAAAAAAAAATTTACGAAAGCTGAAGAACTATTTATCAATAACAGGAATTCGTGAACTATGCTATCACCACTGCCTTTTGTGGAAGCTAAAGGTATTTTATACATCAGATAAATTTTGCGGATATGATGCTAGCACTGCATTTTGAGAAAAGTTGTAATTTGTGAAAATCTTTACCATGATTGTCACACTGAGTTCATTGTGCTGCTCTGTATTCAGTAATTTACTTCTGGAAATTTGATGACATAGTTTTGTTAATAGTTTGATTATCATTATGATTATTTTTTTTATTTTTAAATCCTTCAGGTTCACAGTACTGGAGGACCTAGGCCTGAATCCACTACTGTTTTTGATGTAGCCAATGCTTCAGTTGCCAATGTGAGCAGCACGGGAATAATCCATGCGCTAACCCCTGGAAACACTACCCTTGTTGGCATGGCCCAGGGGTTTGATCCCAGCACAGGAAAGCAGATCATATACTCAAAGGTATCTCTTCAAAGTAAACTGAGTGATTTTGTAATGAGTGTTTAAGAAAGTGACTGCTATTCCGCAAACTGCTGTTTGATTTTGCTGTTCGTCAGTTAGGCCGTTTATTTGCTTCTGGCAGTTGATTACACGAACTTTGGCTTGATACTTAATACATATATCGTCAATATTATCTATGTACAATGAAACGTAAAGGGAGAGTGCACTTTACTGGTAAGACTAAAGAAGAAGTTGCTGTTTACAGGCCTCAAGAAATCCCCTTGTTTTCAAGTCTAGGTTTATAAATACCATTTGGGTATTACTTTGCAAAACTAACGCCATTGTAGCCACATGGTAACTCCGTGGTAACTGCGTTGCAACGAAGCTGTGTCCCCGTTTTAACGTCGTTTTAACCACGTTTCAAGTTCAGTGATGTTCGTTTTTAAAGCAAGTTGTCACCCCTTTGCAACTAATTTTTCTTTATAATTCTGAAGGCCTATGTGACAATTGAAGTGGTGCGACTGACTGGCTTCAAGATCCACCTCACGACAAGAATTCTAGCAACCGGTAGTCAGGTAATTACTTGACAATGATATCGTGGATTCTAACATCTTCGATTAATTGGTTATGTCAACATCTTTAATTGTCAAGAACACTTGGATTGTATGTTTTTTATCAACCAGCAGTTAATATGTTCATGATACTGGGGTCATGTCATTTTCAGGGGTACCTTTTGATGAAAAACAGGCAATTACGGATATGCATCCTGGCCACTATGGAAAGGAAAATCTAAGGATCCTTATCTGTAAACACCCCTATGTTAAGTAACACCCCTATGTCACACATGTTGAGCCTAATGATAAATGAATCTAGAAAGGAGAAACTTGATTTTAATATTTCTCCTGTTTTTACTGTAAATACATGGTAAAACTCTGTGATTTTTCAAATCTTGGCCTAAAGTTATTGAAAATGTGTTATCGACAAATAATAGACGAATTATGCTGACAGAAAGTTTTGACGAATTTAAGTTCTATTTCATGTGCCTTTAGGTTGGCATGTATGCAGTTGGCCTTACAGATCAAGGACCATTCACCTTTGCAAGCTCACATCCATTTATTAAATTTCATTGGTCATGTGGAAATAATGACATAGCTGTTCTCAAATCAGTTTACGAGCTGGTAAGTTTTATCGCTTTATTCCATTTTTGTTGTCGCTTTTTTCACCCTGTCTGCCTCCCGCCCCCTCCAACGCACATTTATAAAACATGGCTCACCTACTTTAAGAGTTTCTTTTTTTAATACGGAGCCTGTATTAAATTTTATCAAACTTCAAAAAAGGTTGGAGCGTATTTTTATTATACTTTTAAGAATTTGTACAAGGTCACAAAAAGTTTCTTGGCAGAGACCCTTTCCGAAGAAAACCGTAGAAAGACTTTTCAGAAAGATGTATTGAAGGATGGCTGTAAGAAATCGTTCTCCTTTCTGTCTCTCTACCCAGAAATGTCATTTCATTTCGTATTGCAGGGGCTTGTAAATGTCATTTTCGCTAAAGAATGATATCTCTCGGATTCTCGAATCCGTAAGGAGCAATGAATGTAAAAAAGTTTCCAAACATTTTTCAATGATCATTTTTTCCATCTTTCAACTTCTGTTTTGAGAGACTCCTTGTCCTCTTTCTTCAGACTGGCCTAACTACAGAAAATGAAAGAGATTTCCGGGTCACCTTGAGCACCAAGAAAGCGGGGGAAACCATTGTGAGGCTTAAGGTGGATCTGCCAGTCTTACATGCAGAAAAGATAGCACTTCCGCATGCAGTGCTTGAAGATGAGATTCAAATCCAGGTCATTATCAAGTTTTTACTATCAATTGTTGAGCTAATTTGCCCCGTATAACAACAGATTTCTGCAGGCCTTTGCCAATTGTTAATCGAACGTTACAGCAAAGTACTTCAAAAAAGAAGTTCGCAGAGTTATAGAAATACTTAAAAAAAGAGATGGTGAATCGAGTGAAAAATCAAATACTTTTTTAATACCGTACTTTGAATGTCATACCATCGTTTTCTACATTGCAAAAATATAAAGTGGTCAACATATTTTTGGCAGAGCTTGCTTGTAGTCATGTTTATCTTTCCGAGTAATATTGATTGCCTATTATTCATGTTAGGTTTTTTTGCTAGCCAGTTTAACAACTAAAAATTAAGCCATTTAACATCGAGAATTTCCGTTTACGCAAGAATCTATTTTAGGGTAACAGCTTGAAAAGAATTTGTTTGTAGCTTTGCTTGTACAACGTTCATTTTCCGTGCCACAATTTACTTGTTCGTAGAGTAATATTAGGCTCGAAATAAATACGAAGCAGTTGAAGAAAAATGATGTTGGCTTTATTTTTCAATGGCCTGATGATGGTAAACGTGTTGTTTTCCAGGTATATGAAGGCTTAAAAGTTGTCTTTCCTGAAAATGGGAGACTTCTGTTGCCACCGAATGCTGAAACTAGAATAGAGACGAACAAGTAAGTCATAAAGATAAGCGGTAATGAGTCTCATCAGCTTTGGGGAATCAATTTTCGATATTGTAGCTATATCATTCGCAGTTTAAATTTTCTAGGTAACAAGCTGTAAAGTTACGTTGTCGTACTCTACCAGATTGCTTCCCTAAAGAAATTAGATAATGGGTTTTTGATATCAACAGCAGGTTCCTTTAAAGTTGCTTGTTGTTTATAACATAAATTCACACCTAATTTTCTCGCATCTTCATCTTTGAATATGTTTCAGGAACCCTTAAAACTTGAACAGTAGCCCTATGATATTACTTCAGTTATCTAATTTCCCCCTAAACAGAAATGGACTTACTCGCTTGAGTTATGACGTAATCAAAGAATGCCCCAGTCCCAAAACAGCTGCAGGGGTAGTGGAGGTATCACAGGATGGCATTATCAAAACGACATCATCATCAGGAATGGCGTTGGTCAAAATTACCTCTCACGAAGACTTTGGGCTGAATGAAACAGCCATAATCAACGTCGAGGTTCGATGATTTCCACTTATTCTTCCTTTTTTGAATTCTCAATTTTTTGAGATCTTCGAATCAAAATGTTATGTAGATCTTTTTTTCTGTAAAAATAAAAAATCTTACTGAATTGTGTGAGATTTATGATCGTCGAAGGATTTCACTATCAATTATAATACAGAGTTGACTAGTTTCCATGTATAATACAATGTAATTGTAAATAGGTCTTTAATTTTATGGTTTTTTATTTTCTAGTATTTTAATTGTATATTGTAGTTAGTTTTTATTGGCAACCGATTGAAAAACAACTTCCGTTGAAGGGCAACCCTCCTTAAACAAATCAAATATGAGATAACTTGGTGCTGATTCAAATTGTTTTGAAAACGGACACAGGGCAATAGAATGAAATTTCAGAGAATTTACCGAGAAGCTAAGACCCATTGAAAAAGTCTTTGAAAAATTGAAAAAGTGAAAAAAGAAAAGGGAAATTTACGCTGCTGAAGAGTACGCTACTCAGCCTCTCGTTATCTGTCAAAAGATGTGGCATCAATAAACCAATATAATAAACCATATTTTGGTTGAAATAAATGCTTGAATCGTTGTTGTTTTGTCCTTACAACTGCCCAGCGTTTTTTGGAGATATGTTTTTATGCAGTGTGTCACATCACTTATTTCAGAGATTACGTAGCGTATCGTGATTTTTTTATAATTTTCTCATTAAGATCAAACAAGAATGATGTTGCGCTTTATGTGTTATTTGGTGAAATTGGCGTTTCAAAAGTTAATAATATTTCGCAACAGAATCTCATTCGGAGTTTCTAAATGTGCATAATTCTCTAATTTACAGCTTGTTATTTGTCTCTGTTACGTTACTCTTTTTTACACTTCTATTATGTTAAAATTCATCCATTTTTTTCCATCAACAGGTCAAAGCTGTGTCATCGATTACCTTGAAATCTTTGAGCTCACTAACGGCATCCAGGGATAATTTCCATTCATTTCCTGTTGGATACAGAGCAGATTTCGTTGTTACTCTTCACGATAACGTAGGAAGGAAATTCGACGCTTTGACGTCACAATTAAGACACAGGCTACAGAGGTAGCCTATCGTTTTCTTTCATTCTACAATTTTTTTATATCCCTCTAGCTGACAGTTATCATCAAATATGTAAAAAAAAACTTGAAAAACTCTTATAATCATCAATGGAAGGTACTTCGGATCTTTTTAACTGATTCAGGAGTGTGAGGAGTGTATGTTTGATGAACTAGGTCGTAAGAAGAAAATAAAAAAACATGTTTATTGAAATGACTTGAGTCGTAAGAAGACTTGAGTCTATCCCCAGGAAATTTAAGAAAAAGGGTTAAGTATCACCATCAGTTTTGAATGTCATTTGAAGACTGCAGAACTCAAAGTTTCAGCCACCTTTACTTTTTCATTTTTTTATCTAACCTACTAAGGTAGTTCTAGGGCACTAAGTTATTTTTATCGAGCAGTGTCCTGGCCCTTCCTCTCGATGTTACCTCGCCTCGAGATTCCTTCGCTTGAAGACATTTTTCAGTATGGTCAAAATTACTTTCGTTATTTTAACAGCAAGGCATCGCCCATCTTTTAAAAATTCTTACAATCATTTTGTTTACCCCTTGTGTGCTGTTGCCTGTAAGCAGCCCATATCTACGTTTATTTTGAGCCTCGACTTTCAGCTGAAAACCAGGGTATTGTTTGTTGAACGGCTAGAATGGGCTTCTTTAGAGAGGTACTTCACAAAGTTTATTGTCTATCATGAATCCTCCTGGACAGTAAACAGTCGCCATATTTTTCTCCTTCGCCAGGAATGATATATCTAACGTTCTACCAGATGTTTCAAAAGGAATTTATACAATTACGGCAGTTAAAGTTGGTTTTACTATTTTCAAGGTAAGACGATTCACCACTACCTACCATTCGAAATTACAGTTTTGATTTTGTGAACAGTTTTTTGGCGGTACAGAACTTGAAAATTGCTTTGAAAAAAGCAAACATTTTACAACGTATTAGCTAAAAGCTTTTTTGTCTGACAAGTCTCAGAGCATGAAACGTCAGAATGAAGGTCCGAAAGAACACGATGAAAAATATATACCCAGTTTGGTTTTAGTTTTGATTTTGATTTGATGAAAAATTTATACCCAGTTTTGATTTTAGTATACACTACCTGTCCTCCATCGATAAAATAGCTAACAATATGGTGATGATAAACCTGCGTTTAGAATGATTCCTGTGAGCGAAACTCGGAAAATGTAAAATGTCTTTAAACACGGGACCAAATTACTAGGGCGGAGAAGATTTTCATAAAATTAAAAATCGAGATTAAGTCTGATTGTGAAGTAAGATTGACAATCCGGATATGGTTTGTATCTTGTTTCCACGCAACATGTACTGCAGTCTGGTTTGTAAGACAACAATCGAAAGCACCCTTTTAAAACAAAAAAGTAAGGACTGTTATGCGCTGATGACGTCATTTTGGCATGCCTGCGCGAATTCGCGAAGAGATCGATATTGCATTTCAAGCTATTGTTGAGGGAAGCAAGTTGCCGTGAAATCAGTATGAACTGTGAATGATGCTATCGTGCAGCACGGAAATTATGAGCTGAAGTAAAGTTTTATGCGGGCATTTAATGCTATTTTGGTGGTACCTGATAGGTGACATCTAAAGTTTTCACCAACGTTGTCAATGCTAGAGGAGTGTATGATGCTAGGGGACACCAAGGGTCAATAAATAGCTGATTGGTTGCACCTGTATTCACGGTGGCTGACGTCGCTCCTCTGTGTAGACATCTAGTTGTCTATTTTGGTCACCCCCAAATATTTATACCAACTTTTGTGGTAGCCGGAAAAAGTTTTTTCCTAGCCTGACTTCATTTACTTAGATTTGGGACGAGAACAACGCCGATGTAGCTGACTATATCAGAATCCGAGCTGCTAATGCCATCCAGCCGCCCCAGGCCTCTGTCTATCAAGGTGGCATGGTCTGCTTCAAGTCAACCGTCAATGCTCCAAAAGGTTAGTCCTACCAAACTACCTATCTCTGTGGCTGTTTGTAGATCGTAGGAAGGCTTTTGGGGCTGAATTGTTAGAAATACTTTTGCTGGTCTCTTCACACTGTGAGATTTTTTTACAAATTGTGCGATAAGATGAGGGGGGGGGGGGGTATGAACTAGTAATCATGTCTTGTCTTTTTGAATAACATATGATGTTTTTGTGATTGCAAATTTGAGAACGTAGGAAATGTTGAGGAAATTCGTGTACCAGCGAGGTATATTAGGTTCAGAGGTCTATTACTCCATTCTAAGATGAAAGAATTTCACCACGGTCCTTCTTTCCCTTTGTTTCTTGACATTGACTTAAATAGAAGAACGTTTCTAAACCAAATAATAAATAAAAAACCAATCATTTAACTTCCGAGAACGTTTTACTTCTTTTTTATTTAGGGAAATACTTTATTTGGGAAATCTTGCCTTCTTGTCTGGAGAACATGTCTTGTCAAGGAGAACATGTCTTAAAGGCACATCACGGCCTACATGTTTAAATTTTTATCTTGTATGCAGGCTCGTCTGTCACGTGGTCAAGCTCAAATATCGATGTGATAGATATCAATGCCAAGACAGGCTATGGTTTCGCCAAATCACCTGGCATTGCCACAATTTATGCAAACCATGGAAATTTTGTGACCCATGTCGAGGTACGCAGCTTGCTTTGAATTCTCACTTAGCCGAGACGTCTTGATGGGGCAAGAGCCTGTGCTTATCTGGCCATGTCTCCGCCAATTTGCAACATATTCTACTGATTTTGCACATTAAGAGGTATTTCACGATGCCCTTTAAGGTTCTGGGATCAAAATTCAGAAATTCTAAAAAAAAATTTTTTATGACGTCATCACTTGAGAACCCTATTAAAAAAACCTGCAACTTGCTGCTCACTTTCCCTTTTGGGGCATTGTAGTAGCAGTTTTTGTTGTAAGATAAAGGCAATACAGTTTTCTAGGATGACATTTCCGCATATCGCATAGGTTCTTTTGTCTTCTTCAGCAGGTGACTGTTAAAAATGTTACAACCTACAATTTTTGTTATTCTCGTTTTAATCTTTTCAGGTCAATGCTCAGAAAACGACTTCAGTTGAGTTGATACAGGGTAAAATTGGCTTCATCTCCAATTTTGGAAAGAAAGTATACGATTTCCCAATAGCAGTCAAAGGCTCCGGAAGGTCTTCTATCAATCTTTGTTCAAATTCATTAGTTTACGACCATGCCTCTAAAATTCCATTCACGTGTACTTTGTCAACAATTGATGAAGGAGTCCCTGTTTCACTCGATACATTGTTCAGCGTAACTTCAAAATATGTGAATGGTGAACCTTTTTGTGAAGTTGTGCCAAACGAGCTTAACAGAAGAGACATGAAACTTCTCAGCGCAAAAGAAACAAAATTGCTGCTGCAAGCATCTCTCACGGGAGAGGAACCACTAGCAACCTCGTTGAAACTTCGGTTTATTCCTGCGTTTCATATCAATAAAAAAGAAATAGAGTTATCATCATCAAATCCGCAGGATGTTATTACCATAAACGGCGTGGAATCTCACCTCAACACTTTAAAGGTTTGTTTTTGTGTACAAGCTATATATTCATTGTGTGCTCCAATTTTTGTGACTTTGACCGTCCTAGCAGGACTGATCTTTCCTTGAAGTGCCGTCTCATTTCTCATTCAAAGGACCTCCTTTTCTTTTCACAGTTTGGTCACCTCCAAAAGTTTTATTTTCTATTTCCCCTATAACATTTCCCCCTCAGTATTAAACTCATTTTATGATATTATTCGTTGAAGTCTACTTGGTAAACTCTCAGACATTCTTGGTTTAGACTTTCCACGTCTCGTCTCATGACATGACAATTGCTTCTTTTTGGATCTCCATGGTCGAATGTATTTACTAACCAAATGGCTTTAGAGACAACTGTATCATTTATCAAATCACTGACGGAGCATCCCTTTTTCGTTATTTATCCTTTTTGCTCGTGCTTAAATATAGTTATATATGCATTGCTAGTGTTGCTCGTAGAGGGAAATCGATAACCTTGTTTCTTTTATTCAGTTAATTGCACCTAATGAGTAGACCTTGCCTTGTAGAAGGTTTTATTTTATTAGCATTTCATTCCGTATCGTAGAAGGTCTTTAGCTTCAACTACAGTTATATTTATATAATATCGTTTTTAGGTGCATTCAAGTTTGTCCAATGTCGTGCATATCTTGCCACTGGACAGGGAACTCGGCGAATCTCGTGTTGAGTATCAGTTGAGCCTTGTTAGAAAGTCTGATTTACCTGCCAATGAAGTTTATTTTGTTATTGAAAGTAGTGTCACGGGACAGAGGGAAGAAATACTAGTGGGAATCAAAGTAGGGAAAAAGGTGGAACAGCCCCAGTGTATTCCTCAAGCTGCAAGCACTGTAGATGAAGGCTCTATTTCAGGTGAAAAACAGTCAATATTTTATGAACAAAGGCTCTGGATGATATGGTATACCATAATCATAGCGACTGTTATCCTGTTAATATGCGTGTATCACAACTGGATGACTCGTCGGCAGTACAGGAGCACTCATGCATTGAGTCCGGCTTTTCATTCTGCACCACCACCTTATCAGGTGGTACCTGGGCACGGGTCACCTTTTCAAACATGGACTCCAACGCACACGCACGACAGTCCACACTCGCCACCTTCTGAAAGACGACCACATTCTGCTTATAAGGATCCACTGAAAACGACACCAGGAAACAGGACCTTGTTTAGTGTGGGCCAGTGATGTGCCCTGGTCTTTAATTTGGCTCTCGTGACGACTGGCCTCTATTCTAATACAGTTCGAGATTTCCTATCCGAGGTTACATGATTTCACATGGAGCTGTGGGCTGTGTCTCAAGATGTCATAACTTTGTCATAAGATTGTGTTTTTCTTAACAGAACTTTAATTTTTTTAAGGTGAACATTTTTGTTGGTATATAAATGAAAGATCATGTGAATGAAAAGACAGAAAATTTGTTATTAGTCATCTTGTATTTATTTAATTATCATACTCTCAAAGTGTTTGAGATTTTGTTACAATTCTCGTCTTACCTGACTCTCGATCTCCGCTCTATTTGAGAGGTTTGTGTTAGATCATTTTAAAATTAAAGGAAATCCGTAAACCATACATTGTCAAAATATATCCCAAGAAACTGAAAATGCTATCCTGCGCACTGTACATGAGCTTCTTTTCAAAAATTGACAGCTTTTCCAAAGATTTCATTCTTTATGGCTACAGGAAACGTGGAGCATATTACGGATTAGGAGGGTTGAATGGTTTTTGGAGCTAAACATGCAGTGTTAATTTTTTGTATTGTTTTCCAAGGGGGTCGATCGAACTTTTTATATAAAGGAGGGTCCTTTTGATAATTATGGGTAAAAATTCTCCTTGTGATCTAATACTTTTGGGTACTTGATTTAAAAATATACCTTTGTTTAACTTATGGTTCCAACTAACACATTACAATCATATCAAAAACAAGAATAAAAGAACAGATGTGTTTAAACTGATTATTATAGGTATCAGTCTTAATTACTATGAGCATTACTATGACTGAATTACTATTACTTTGACTTAATTACTATGACTTATTATAGGAATATTATAGCTAATAATTGTGGGTCTGCTAAATTTGTTTTTGATACTTTAGGGTGTATTTTGATAACTGCGGATGCACCTCCCCCTATATAAAAAGTTTAAGTGACTCCCCTGGGTATCCTTTCTGTACAGTTCTGAATATTATTGGAAAGGGGCTTAAAGGCAATCTGTCTCGTTGTAGAATGGTTAACGAGAACAATAGCTGGAACAATGGAATAAACACGATTCCAGCGCTCCGCCATATTTTTACAATGCGATAAATTAAAGGGAGACTGGAAACAATAAAAATCCTTTTGTTCTTATAACCAATCAACGTCGTGACAGATTGCCTTTAAGCCCTCGAAATCCCCTCCGCGGACCCTTGATTACGATTCCGCGAACTTTTGAAACTTTTACACCGACTACACCATGTGCAGTTGCAGAAACTTCTTTGGGAAACTTTCGTAATCTTTGCGATGGTTGTAGCGTTCAGCATGAGCTGAAAGTGATAAATAACATTGAACAGGCTTCTCAGACATTAATCATTTAATCATTCTAATCATAAATGATTCTAATCAATTAATCGTCCAAAGAGACAGCAAAAAAATACTACAAAATAATCTCCCACGTAACTCAAAATATGTGAATGCATAATTTATTGAAAATCTTAGTGTGAAAAATAAATATCAAATTAAACCTAGATCAATGCTGACCTTCCCATTCCAATGTAGGAAAGTTAACCAATTATGCAGAAGAGAATTATCGAGGATCATTCCAGCTGTACTCAGTTTTGGCAAAACGTTGCCTCTTTAGTTTTTAGATCCTTCACACAATGGCCATAAAATGAGATTTAAGGCAAGTGTCGAGATAATGTGGGACAGGGACAATGAACTTTCAAAAACCGAAGGGAACCCACTCGAAGGAATTGGTTTGATATCCCACTAGAATTGAATTGATCGTACAAAAAACATACCGTAAATCCTCGAATTAGTCCCCCTGGTGGGCTTTTTTCTGTATTTTTGAATGGGGGCTTATTCGAAGGGGGGCTTATTCGAAGGGGGGCTTATACGAGGGGGCATAAAATTATTGTAGACATTAAGAGGACATTATTAAAATACCTCGTTCATTATAGTAGGAACTTCTTTATGAGGATTTAATTAATTAATATCAAAAGTATGAATAGAACGCCATAGGCAACGTCAGATGGCAAAAATCATCAAATGGAGGGAGCCAATTCGAGAATTTACGGTAGCAGCGGGGGCTTATTCGAGGGGGGGCTTATTCGAGGGGAAGCTTATTGACAATTTGTAGTTCTAGGGTGGGGGCTTTTTCGAAGGGGGGGGGGGCTGTGTAACTTACATTCAATTGTTCAATTTTATGTTTCACTTGTGGTTCCTTAATATTTTCTCTTAAATAGGGCTCATCAGCTATGCAATTGCAATTGTGCAAATGTTTTTCTTCTAATTCATACTTCAGGCCACAAAGATTGCATCTGCATATTCGATCTTCAAAAAAAGAGTTTAAATAACAAGATTGAATGCAAAAACAACAAATTTGTGTGTGATAATTACATAAACTGGTCTTCTTTGTGCAATGGGCAATTCGAGGTTTTACGGTATAAAATTCAGAAAAGCCCTCTGTATTGTCTACTAAAGAAATTACTTTTATGATGTCACCATCTTGTTCATCTTTACTGTCTTCTCAAAATGTTTCATTAAAGTCGTTTCGATTGAAGTGATTAAAAGTGATCAATTCGAGGTTTTACGGTATAAAATTCAGAAAAGCCCTCTGTATTGTCTACTAAAGAAATTACTTTTATGATGTCACCATCTTGTTCATCTTTACTGTCTTCTCAAAATGTTTCATTAAAGTCGTTTCGATTGAAGTGATTAAAAGTGATCCAGGCCTTGGACGAAGAAATGACCCAGGCCTTGGGTGGATAGACATGCTGCATAAGTAAGAAAAAAATTGTGATATTCCAAGTTCTAACGATTAGTGTATGAATGTAAATCAGGCATGTTGTGTTAATCAGTTTCAAATTACATGCTCATTATGGAAACGAAAATGAGACTTCAGATTGCTCTTGTAGCGAAATTGTTTACCGCAATGCTCGCAGTCGTAAGGTTTTTCGCCAGTATGTGTACGCAAGTGAAGTTTCAGGTTACTACTATACGCGAAGTCTCTACTACATACACCACAGCGGTAGGGTTTTGCACCAGTGTGTACGCGAAGGTGCGACACCAGGCTTGCTTTTACGGAGAATCCCTTGTCACAACTGCTACATTGATAAGGTTTTTCACCACTGTGTACCCGCTTGTGTCGTTTAACATCACTACTCTGGGCAAAAGCTTTGTCGCATACATCACATTTATATGGTCGCTCTCCGCTATGTGTACGTTTATGTGGCTTTAAGTGTGTTTTGCTTGCAAAACGCCTGCCGCACACATCGCATTCGTATGGCCGCTCTCCGCTGTGAGCACGCGAATGTTCTCGTAAATGACTGCGTTTACTAAACCTTCGTTCACAAACCTGGCACTGAAAAGGCTTTTCCCCGCTATGAACTCTGAGGTGACTCGCTAAGTTCGTCGGGTGAGAGAACTCTTTACCACACTCAGGACATTTATATGGTTTATCTCCACTGTGAACACGAAGGTGACAATTCAAGTTACTACGCTGAGTGAATTTTTTCCCACAAATTTCACATTCATACGGTTTCTCGCCATTGTGTATTCGTATATGCGGGATGAGGTAGCTTTTCTGCGGAAATCGTTTGCCGCATATTGGATATTGAAATGGCCTTTCCCCTGTGTGTACCCGTTCGTGTGTTAAAAGCGCGCCTTTATACGGAAAAGATTTTCCACAATATTCACAATCATTGGCAGGGGCGGATCCAGTGGGGTGCGAAGGGTGCTCGAGCACCCCTCAGATTTGTGAAAAAACTTTTTGGGGATTAAAGCTTATTCTACCGCAATTTTGTTTATTATTATTTAAACCATTTAAATAATACCGGGAAGTATGCACATCTCCTGAAATTGTTATTTCCGCTTCAATGCCCCGTCTCACAACTGTTCAACATTGTTATTTCAGTCCATGCATTGAAGTGTTTTGAAACTCCCCCTGGTTGTCCTGTATAGCATTCTACAGACTCGGAAAGCATTGTCTCCTCTTATATCCAGCCACTTAAGGAACCCATGGCCTGTAAATTATACGAGTTTCTGCACCCGTGGAAGTGAATCTAGCCAATCACGGTGCCAGGTCGAGGGGTTCTAAACTTTGGCGCGAGAACCCATGGATTTCAAAAATCCAAAACATCAAAGAATACCGACAAACCAGGGGGAGTTTCTTCGCTTCAATCTACAGTCAAATGTATAGTGGTTTTATGACCAGGGGGAGTTAAGCTTGTGTGAGAGGTGCTTCTATTTATATTATTGAGATGGTAAAGCAAGGAAACACACTCTTTACATTTTCATATCTTGATAATCATTCAAGATTTATAACTTAACTGAACGAGGATACGAAGATAACTGAACTACGCTTTACAAAGCTTCGGATTAAATAGTACATGTCACGTGATTATAAAAGGTCATGTGATCTGGGGAGCGTCCTACTACATCCTCCCCCTTCTTATTTAAAAAAATACAGCATACGTATTTTTTTTTACAATTTTTTTTTTTTGCGTTAACGTTAATTAAGAAAAACATACTGAAAGCGACAATATCCATGTTAACGACGTAAACGAGAAAATTTGTCTACATCCAATGAGAGAACATAGATGCCCCCGTGTGGAGCACCTTCTAAATGTAGAAACTGACATGACTTAACAAGACCACGGAGTCGCCCATGTTTAGCTAGGATTTCTCTACTAGGTGGGAACGACTCGTAAAGAAATTTACATGCTTCTGATGCTACAGCGGACTTGGAGGGTTTACACTCTAAAAACGTTCCTAATCGAAATGCCACATCGGCTAAGTCCTTATTTGGGGAAGCAGGGTGTACTGGAGTGACACTTTCCTGTGACGAGTCTACGTGCTCGACTGTAGCTAAAGGAGAAATATCAGACGGTGTTGTGTCGGGTACGACCACAATCTTTTCTACATTAACTGGATGTGACCAGTCTTGTCCTGAGGTGGCATGGCGCAAATTTAAAAGATCCTGGCGACCATGTGGATGGCCTGTGACGATGAAAGGACCATCGAAGTTGCGCAGAAAGCGAGATTTTTGGCCGCTTTTGGAGGGAGCGGACTCCTTGCGCATGTAAACGAGTTTGCCATCTGGCACGTGTAAATCGCGCGAAGCGATGTCGTACAATTCGCGTTGGCGGCGGCGCAAGTCTGCTTTTATGGCGCGAAATTGTTCATGTGCTTGTTGCATTCTGGCTACAAGATGATGTGCATAATGATCAGCAGGCAAAGACTGAAGTGGAAGATCCAAAGATATGGTTTCAGGCGAGGGAGCATGGCGT